ATATATATATATATATATTTGTGTGTGTGTGCGCTGTCAGTCCTGATTGATTGAGTTTGTTCATCTTCCACAGTGAGATGTTGGCCTGGGCCAGTGCTCAGATCCACTGCCAGTTCCATGCCAGCGAGAGTCGCGTGGCTCTACCTGCTCAGGGCACCAAGCAGGACGTCCAAGCTGAGAGTGACACCGTATTGATACCAAGCAAAGGTGAAGCATAAGCAGCTTATCTCAGACTAGTTTTGCTTAACTTGTAATGTTAAAAGATGAAGCGAGCAGAATCAAGGTCAGTTTTTTTATAACATCCATATCTAAAATATTGGAATTAGACAATGGTTTGTATGTCAAGTCACCTTTGTTTATATATAGCACTTTATCCAACAGAGATTGTTTCAAAGCAGCTTCACAGTATTAAACAGGGGGAAAAAAACAGAATCAATGATGCAAACTTCTTCAAATAAGACTTCCAAATTCTGCTGTAAAGCACCTTTAACAAGTCAGTAGAATGATTATTCTACTCCAGTCAGTTCAGTGCTGATGCAGAACACAACAACAGTGGGAAAATTTTGAACAGAAATTATGGCAAATTTTGGCAGTTTTTGGCAGAAAATACTGCACTAATAGCAAATGTTCAGGTTGTAGAAACTGGAATTATTTGTATTGATGAGGATGCTGTGCTTGCAAAATACACAATAATGCAATATTCAAATAACCTTCTACATTAAAATATTTAAAACGTAGTTAATTGGGGAAAATGCAAAGTTTAACAAGTTCCAAGTGAGAGTCAGTGACATGAGTCAGAAACCCTATAAATTTCAGGCAAACGCTGATAATGGCTGACAAAGCACTTGAAGATCAAATAGTATAATGATTTCAACTGGTCACAGACTTCCTGTTAACACTGTGTGCTGGAACTTGTCGACTTTTATAATCTCTCTATTTGTTCGGTGTTGAATTGTGCCTTTCTTATCACAGTATAAGCCAAATACTTTGAGTCTATCAGAAAGTGTGCTTGTGATGAGGATTAGACGGCAGGTACGGTTCATTTCAGCATTGTAATTTATCCAGCTCTCTGTAATCTCAGATTTATTAACAGGAAACCTCTTAATTTTGGACCAGGGATTTAGTGGAGAGATTTCATGATTTCTCTTTTTCTTCATTGATCCAGGTGAACGAGGGCAATGTGTGCTGGACACGCCACCTAAGATCTTGTTCTGTGACCTTCGCTTGGATCCTGGAGAGAGCAAGACCTGTAAGAAACTGAATATAAACCAGACACAGATTCGATCACATATAACTTTCGGTCTAAATGACCCATTACGTTTTCTTTGGATAAGTGCTTGTTTTGTTTACATTGTTTAAGCTCTCACAACGTCATTAACAAGAAGTGAACCCCTTAATCAGTTCAGAAAAAAAGCTAATTCCTCATGTCCCAGATAATGTTGATATGCCACTGAAAACTGCTTCATGGCCCAAAACCAACAGTCAGCTGGCCAAAGCTCAGCTGTTCAGTCATGTAATTGCACATTATGCTGGGCTAATGTCATTCTGAGCCACACACGTAAAACCGATCTCTGCTAGATTTTTTCAACTGAGACTACCACTAAATAATGTTTTCCCTTTATTCAGATTCTTATAGTGAGGTTGTGCCCACTGATGGTCCGCCCAGTTTCCGGGGGCAGGCAGTGAAATACGTGTACAAGCTCACAATTGGCTGCCAGCGAGTCAACTCACCAATCAAGTTACTGCGAGTCCCTTTTAGAGTGCTAGTGCTTCATGGTAGGTTGCACAAATGGTTTGTGTATGGTGTCCCTTTTAGCCTTGTCCATGCAAAGCAGAGGTGAATTTTTAGCAAGTTGCATTAGAGATGCATTAATCATTTTCCACACACTTTTTTATTTCTACACCTAAAGAAATGTGTAATCTTTTTAGAAATAGTGTGAATACTTTGTGGTTAACACACATGATTAACCATGTGTGACAGATATGCCTGTGAATAGAGTGTGCCTCCACAGTGTAAGAAAATATTATTTTGCAGGCATGCCAGAGCCTCCGTTCCCCCAGGACGAGGAAGTGGCTCCCTCAAACCCTTTCCTGGAGGAGGAAGAAGGAAGCAGGAGAGATACAAGACTGCTAGAAAGAGCTCTGGACATGCTAATGATCACCACCTCGCGTCGATGCCCATGTGCGTGAGTGAATGTGGGTGGGGGATTGTGGGAAGGCTTGTGTCTTTGAAAGAATGTGTATTTGTCATTCATCTATCTCTTATGTCGTGGTCCTCGGCTCAGATTTGAATTCTGTGTCAACTGTGAACATTCATTTCCTTCACAGATATGTTCAACATCACAAACATGCGGGGAAAGGTGGCTAAGTTCTGTATCTTTAAGACTGTGTACAGGCTCGGGGAAGATATTATTGGCACCTTCACATTCTCAGAAGGGGACATTCCATGTTTACAGGTATAGAATACATTACAGGTCAAAAGTTTGGGGTCAGTATGACTTTTTTACTCCAGTCTTCAGTGTCAGAACGATCCTTCAGAAATCATTCTGATATGCTGATTTGGTGCTCAAGAAACTTATTAATTAATTTTGAAAATAGTTGAAAGCAGAAAATAATAACACTGCTTATTATTTTTGTGAAAACTAATAAATTTTTTCAGAATTCTTTGATGAATATGAAGCTCAAAATAACAGCATTTATTTCAAATAAAATTCAAATAAATGTGAAATGCAAATGCAAAAGTCTTTACTGTCACTTTTGATATCCTTGCTGAATAAAAGTATTAATTAAAAAAAAAACGTATTGACCCAAAACTTTTGAGGATGTAAATGTTTGAAGAAGCGCTCCAGGAATGTGTATGTGTATTTATATCTGCTCAGTATTCAGTAAGTCTACAAAGTGAGGAGGAGGTCCAAGAGCAGTACCAGAGACGTCCCGGCCAGGCTGTCAGTGTCACTGGTCATGGCCGACATCTAGAGTCCTGCTTGCACACAGCCTCCAGCCATTTCTCTCTCCCTGTACCCCTTAATGTCACACCAGGATTCACCACAGATATAGGTTAGAAATCCTTCACTCATAAAAAAGTTGCAAGTCGCATAATGCAGCTTTGGTTGACTTATTGGTCTGTTTCTGCTTCAGCCTGAACCTGGAGTTTTGTAAATCTGTTATCAAACATATGTGAGTAAAGAAAATAAATGAGCACTGATAAGGCAACATTCTCATTCAGTGTTTTTATTCTCTTCCCCAGTGATGTTAAGATGGCGTCTGCATTTTGAGTTTGTCACAGCGCGGGAGCCAGTGGAGGCACCAGTGGTTCTGCAGAATCAGTCAGAGGTCACACTATGGACTGGGGCAGAGCATGTGGATGTGGACACCTTCAGTTGGGACCTTCCAATCAAGGTGCTTCCCACAAATCCCATGCTGGCTTCATATGTTTCCCAGTTCACAGGGACAAACAGCATCAACATTTGAGTTGTGTTGGTGCAGGGAGATCATAAAACTAACAAGTTATTGTTGTTTTGAGATGTCTTGTTAGCAGTCTATATTTTATATTCAAATGTAGCTTATATTTGGAGTTGTTTTATTGGTTTTTATCTTTTGCCGTGCAGTGAGATGATAATTCTCTATTTAAGCTACTTTATATTTCAGCCTTGACCAACAGACTGCTTTACCTACTGTAATGTAAAGATTTCTGTATTTATTGCCTATAATATTCGTATGCTCCAAACTATAATGACAAATGGTTTCTGTTGTATTTCAATTCTCTATTACAAGCTATTTTGTACCATTTCTCTATATGCAAACCATAACTGAATAAAACTGTTACTGAGTTATTTTCAGCTGGTGGTTTGTTGATTTTTTTTTTTCTCAAGCTGTTGTCCCACCTATATAAGTTGCAATATGTCCTATATTTCTGCTGTAATTATGACAAAGCTGCTTGTATTAAAACTTTTTTTAATAACAGAAACTGAGTATTGATAGATTAATAAATATATAGGTTTATAATATGTTTCTGAATATAAACTTATAAACCACGATTGTTTTCCTGGAGTTTTAAGAACTGTATGTTCTTCAATAAAAACAATAATGGGGAAAAAGAAATATGGTTTCAGTTTTGTCTTGATTTTGTGTTTATTAGCATTTGAAATTAAGAGTTATAATCATTTATTAATTTGTAATAATCATTTGTTAATTTGAATACTTTTAAGTCATCCTGTGGCACTCTTGAAAGTTCGCTGAGGCCCATGAGAACCACTGTACTATTGTCATTTTTTTTTTTTAATTAAAAGAAAAAGATGAATTTTCTATACATATTTATTAGAGTAAACGTAAATATTAGACAAACAGCTATATATTACTAAGCTGATTATTTACAATAGTGGATAAAGGAAAAGCTTTGGCTATGCTGCTTAAATTTGCACCATAAACAAAATTTATCAAATCAAATATGAAGAGGTTGTTTTTTTTTTGCAACTATTTAATAGGGAATACACTTTTAATTTTGCTCTCAGAGCTTAAAATATCTTGGCTATTGAGGGAATGAACTGTAAAAGAGACAATAACGGGCCATACAGTGCTAATATTTAGTGTTATAGTGATGTGATAATAACATGGTAGAATAAGCATAAATGAACATACCCAAAGCACAACATGCCATACAACAGAACTTCTGATCTGTCTCTCACTCCAATACATTGTTCAAACACATGACTTAAAATAATGCTTTCCTCCCCTACATTCTATACATGTCAAACCACTTCCAATCTTCCTTTAAACTGAACACTTAAATGGTAATGGTTATGTTTTGAGAATACAGTTGCTATAGGAGTAATATCCCATCTCACGTAATAGTGAGACAGATGTTAGCTGACAGGCAGGTGATTTGTGGTTTGAAGGCTTCCTGCATGCTAACCTTCTAGTTTCATGTTAAGTGCTCCATGTCTTGGATCAACATTGTTCTCTTCTCCAGGAATACAGGGCAGGCGAGGATCAGAGGTCATCACCAGTGTGGCCTGGCAGGTCAGAGATTCAACTCGAACTTCACACCAGGGAGGAAAGTCCACAGGCCGATGCACCCTGTAATTAAGCAATTAATTGAAATACAAATCGAAATTAACTTCTTTACATGTAGCAACAAGTACAAAACAGCTGAGTAGTACACTCCTCAAAATAAAGGTCCCAAAAGGGGATTTTCACTACAATGCCATAGAAGAACCATTTTGTGAGAAGAACATAATAATCTAAAGAAGTTTTTTTACACTATAAAGAAACTTTTGTGCAATGGAATGGTTCTATGGTTTCTTAAAGGTTCTTCATGGAACCATCTCTTACAATCAAAAACCTTTATTTTTAAGAGTGTATTTTTGACAGAGTGTACTTTTGATCAGACAGAAAAATCTCAAGTTTCTCAATCATTAGGTTATTTTATTTATTATCCAATAGAGAAACGAATGCAAGATGTGACGGTTCTTACGTTTCGCAGCATCCCACTCCCATAGGGTGCAGGCAGGTGCACTGCACACAGCCCTGCTCCATCCAGCTCTCTCCCATAGAGTACTGCTTCCCATCATACTCACACAGAGCTGTGAAGAGAGACATCGAACACACTGAAGATCAATCTCCTCAAGTCTTGACAGTGCCTGATCCACAAGTGCACTCTAAATAAAACTAATTTAGTGTAAATATCATGATATGGGACGCCTGGTCTCACCTTGGGAGTTGAAGTGGCAATGCATTGGTGCTGCTGAACATTTCATCAACAACAAAGAGGCCATGAAGATCATCATTGCGCCATGTCTCACCATGGGATCCATCTCAGTTGTTTGATCGCCCTCTTAATCGTTCTCCCCTCTTTCGCACCTTCATTTATACCCCTTGCGTTCATGGGATGGGTGTGAGGAGTGGTTTACCCCCTTTCTGAGGTGTGTTTCTGGGGTGGGGGCAGGCTAGTTAGGCTGATTGAGGGGGCTGTGCAGAGGAAAAAGCTGTGGCTTGGCACCACTTGTTTTTCTCTCCGGTGATTACCATTCTCCGCTCCACTGGGCATGACCTTGAAAAACTATAGAAATTCTGACACATCCTGAGATGACTAAGAGAGGTGGGGAAGAGAGCTAGAGAGCAAGAGAGAGCAAAAAGTTGACGTGAGACAGCATGCAGAACAAATATGGATGACATGAGTTGCCAATTAAAGATAACAGCCCTACATTTTGAAAAATAAATAAATAAATAAAAATTAAAAAGGTGTAATTTTATCTAATTTGATGATGCTGAGTTCAAAAATATCATGTGCAGTTTTTTTTCCACAAAATAAGAATGAATTTATATA